AGGAGTTTGGGCTGGATATGTGAGGGACTCAGGGCAAGAAGTTTGTGAGTATGATGGGCTCAGGACACAGATTTGTGATGTGTGGATGGTGGAGGACTGTTGTGGCAGAAGACTGAGGATGTGGAGATGCAGGAGTGTGGGGATGTAAGAGGCTCAGGACAGGGGGTTCCAGTGTATGATAGGCTCAGATTTGGGGTCAGGTGGTGCAGGAGTGTTATGATGTTTCAGTGAAATGGGGGTTTGGTCCCAATTGGGGGCTTGTTAGCTTGGCTTAATTTTTAAATACAATATTATGTCAAACTCAAAAGGTTTTAGCATTGTCTTTATATGTGAGAGGGGTGAGGAACCTGTTTTGAGTCAAAGGTCACTGACCCACAGAAAAGTCAGTTGGGGACACACAAGTGAGATGCAAAAAAAACAAAAAAAAAAGCTCCTCCAAAAACCCCCAAGCCTCAGTAATATGGTCCCAAATGTGCTGCTGGGGCTAGGGAGAGGGTGCTGCTGGGTGGAAGGATGCTGGATCATGTGGCAGGGTGCTGGGGTCAGGGACATGGTCCTTCTGAGCACTAGGGTGCTGGGACAAGGAACAGGGTGCTGCTGGGTGCTAGCGTGGATGGCAGGGTGCTGGGGCCAGGGCCAGGGCAGTGCTGAGTCCTGGGGTGTGAGGCAAGGTGCTGGGGCCAGGGCGGATGGCAGGGCTGCCAAGGAGCAGGATAGGGATGGGGTGCAGGATCTGGGAGGCGGAAGGGGACAAGGTCTGGGTGGTAGGTAGGGTGCAGAAGTAGGCTGGATGTAGGGTGTCTGGCTATGAGGGAGGGTGCGAGGAGGGGACTTGGGTAGGAGTTGGACCTCCCTGATCTGGCACCCTCTAGACCTGACTGGTCCCAGATGAGGAATTTTTGGACCTGGGGAGGTCATTTCAGGGCTCCTGGTCCCCCCCCCCTTTCCCCACTAGGCTTCTTTGCACCTCTACCCCCTGCAACCGAACTGTCCACCTTCATGTGTTTTTGCGCAAGTACACTGATGTTCTCATGTATGAAATCAGGGCTTTTTGTGCAAGAGCTATGATGGTCCTGCTCAGTAATAAGCCCTTTTGTGCAACTATTCTTGCGCAAGAGGCCAGTGTAGACAGGCAACATGAATTTCTTGCACAAGAAAGCCCTATGGCTAAAATGGCCATCAGAGCTTTCTCGGGCAAGAGAGCATCCACAGTGCCATAGATGCTGTTGTGCAAAAGCACAGCTCGCACATGGCAGTGTGGATGTGTTCTTGCACAAGAACTCTTGCGCAAGAAACAACCAGTGTAGACATAGCCTAAGAGTTTCCTCACATGAGCAAAATGAATTTTGTGTTGTGCACCAGTACTGAGTTCATGTGGCTTGTTTGGATGTGCCACCCAAGTTAAGTATTTTTAAACCTCTACCTTCTCCCTCTGCTGCCATGTCAGCTCAACTGGTGCCTCCTGCCCCATCACTCCTCACCCTGCTCTGCTGTCCTGACTCCTGCTCTTCTCACTGTCCTCAGCCCTCCTGCAACCTGCCCCCCTCAACCAGCCCTTCTCTCCTCCCTGTGCCCACTTCTCCAGTAGCCCCACTCTGATCATGTGAACTACCCCTCCTCATCCCCTTTTCTAACCCCTCCCTCTACAAACCTGCCCTGCGTCTCTCCTCTGATGGTGGTCCCTCCACTGTGCAGGTGTCTGCCCAGAATCCCCTGGCACCTGCACCTTCTCTTACCCCTGCACCCTCCTGGTGCCTCCCCCTTCCCTCACTTCCCCTGCCCCCTTTGCTCCATTTTTCCCTGATGCCCACTCCCTCACCACCCTCTGCCCCCATTCCCCTCATGCCCCTGTGCCCTCTCACATGACTTGCTCCGTCCCAGCCTTCCTCATGCCCACCCCTTCTTTCAAGCCTTCTCCCAGCACCTCCCCTCACCCCTCTAGCCCCCAATGGTCTTACCCTCTCCCCTCCCAGCATCACCCTGTGTCCCCCTTCCACTGACACCTCTCCTCCTGCCCTTTTCCTCATTGTCTGCGCTTGGCCCCCTGCTATTTGTCTCTCCTCCACCCCGTCCCTTTGGTGCCTTCCCCTTTCTTCCCCCTCCCCCTCCGCACAAGCACCTTCTTCTCCCAGCCTTTCCCCTTTCCCTCTGCACAAGCCCCTTCCATTCCTTCTTCTCTCCCCCACCCCTGTCACTTTGGTGCCTTCCCCTTCCCCTCCCCCTCCGTCTCCGCACAAGCCCCTTCCCTTCCCTCCCTCTTCATTTCCCTCTCCCTCTCCCATACCTTCTGCCCTCCACTTTGCGGGGCCGGAGTCTGTGCTCTGTCCCCGGACTCCGAACCCACAACTCAGCCATGCGGCGCATCACAGCGCCCAGCAAGTTTAAAATCCCAGGCCGTGACGTTACGTCACGTCCGGGCGTCTCTCCACCCACTGGTTTGAGCGCGCTGTGCAGGGCAGCAGCAGCCAGCGAGGGGGAGCTCAGGGAAGGTTGCGCATGACGGGGACGGGGGAGAGACGCTTTGGGGTCGGGGTGGGAGGGGGTTGGGACCCGCTCCAGCTCCAAATATTGCTGGAGCGTGGGTACCACAAGCCCACACAACTCACCGCCCATGCCTCTGCTGGCTAGCCGGCTCTCTCTCTCTCTCTTTTTCAGAGGGAGCGGGGGAGCACCAGCTCCTTGCAGAACCCCTCGTTTTGCTCCGCGGAACCCCAGGGTTCCGCGGAGCACCAATTGGAAAACACTGCCCTAGTGCAATACAGGTAAATGGAGAGCTGAGCCAAGAGACACAGTTGCTCTGTCACTATTGAAGCTCTGAGTATTTGGGGGGGGGTTACAAGCCCATCTACGTCTAAAGGCTCCTCTCACTCTGCATAAGGGGAGCAGTCACTGGATCCAGACATCACAAAGATTATGAGGGATAACAAATAGGAATAAAAATAGGGAAGGAGGCAAGGGTCACAGATTCAAAAGCAGGGATCCAGAGAGGGTCACTGAGCAGGAAGCCCTAAACAATCAGTTAAATGGATCCAGCTATGCACCTTTGGAGGCAAACAAGGCATCAGGTGCACCACACAAGACATTGCAATTGCATAGAAAGGGCTTGTGCTTCCGTTACAGAAATTTGCAAGGCAGCAACATGGTCATGGATTAACATGTCTATCAGCTGCTATAAAATGGACTTTCTGACTTCACAGTTTTGGCAGGAAGCTGCTACAGGCAGTGGTCCAGAAATGGCACTGGCATTTTCAAAAAAACTTAACCTTTCAGGGTCTTCTCATTTTATTTTTCTCCGCCCTTTCATCTCTCATGTATCAGTCCTGTTCACCTTTAGAAGAGTTACTATTAGGTTAAAGCTTTCTGTATGACAATTGAGAGGCATTCCATGAACTAAGCTAGTTTCTACTTTTGACCCACATAAAACCTTGTCTAAAAATAACAATGCAGATACTAATCCTGGCAAAAAAGAATCAACACTTCCCATGGTCTCCATTATATAATTATTAGATGCTACATTTATGGCTTTTCACTGAGAAAAACTAAGTCTGGATGGTCAAAGGGAAACTTGACAAGTAATGTTTCTTCTGCTACTACTTACAGCTTTCTTTATTGCGGGGACAGGTCCTATTCCCATGATGGATGGCTCTAAACCCACTTGAGCCCAGGACACAATATGCGCCAATGGAGTAAGACCTCTTCTAGCTGCTTCAGATGCCTTCATAAGAATTACAGCTGCAGCTCCATCATTCACACCTGCAGAGCAGTGAATAATTGCTTAAGTTTATTTGTTAGAGTCTTCACAGTAAAAAGGCAATGGGTCCCTTCCCTAAAGAGTTAGTCTAAATTAAAGGTTTGACAAGTAAGATAGTATACAGGTTATAGATATCGAGGCGGGTGTAAGTCTGTGCAGCTCCACTGGTTTTGGTGAAGATGTGACAGGTTTCATCAGTAGGCACAGATGAGCACACACCTTTATGTTGGGTGGAGTTATGTGCTGCATACTTCCTGTAAGTGATGCTGTGAAAGCAAGGTTTTAACAAGAGAGTTGAAAGAAAAAGGTGGTGGCTGTGAAGAACAGATTTTGGAAGGACATGGTAAGTGTAAGAGGCAGCATGGAAAACGGCATTGAGACCACTATGGAAAAGTTTAATCCCATGATAATGCCAATTTTTTAGTGTTGGGTGTTTGATTTTCCTATATACAATCTATGGCTAGTACTGAATGTGCAGGAAGACCACTGGAGTCAAGCAGAAATGCTAAAATGAGGGCGGGGGGAAGGAGTGATAAATACAGTTAGACTAAGAAACAGAAGGATGAGGAACCAGGGAAATGTGGACACTGCTGAGATATGTCAGTAATAAAAGCATTTTTGACTTCATGGCATGACAGGCTGTTTTGAGTTGAAAACAGTGATACTGACATGACATAAGTCTCCTGCACATCATCTTACTACAGCAGTATTTAGGGGAAAAGTGCACACAGATATGCAAGTTATAATATGTGCAGTTGAGCTCAGTGCTATATATCCTTGTCCTGAGCTGCTTGCAATTGCTGTCCTACTGCATGTTGGTTTACTCATCTACAAACCTGAGGCATTTGCTGCAGTTACTGTTCCAGTTCCATCTGTCAGAAAGCAAGGCTTTAACTTTGATACTGTTTCTAGGGTGCTTCCATGGCGAGGATGCTCATCTGCTTTAACTTCTACAGGACCTGCAAAATGGTCAGACATGAATTTGAGATCAATTCCGTGCAACTTTACTTTTGTAACAGGGTTCTAAATCGAGCAAAATAGCTGTAGAACAAAGAGTAACTTCTATGTAGTAGCCACTAAGGAATATATCACACAACTGGGGTGGGGGGAGGGTGGGAATGTGTTTAATTTTTCAAGTTCATAGTTGTCAGGATTATAACAAAACACAAGAACTTCAAGTTTATTTTTAGCCCCATAATCTACCTAAATGCTTCCAGGCGCTGGTAGTAGTGCATATGGCTACTTTACACTTGGGCTTTCTGAAACAAGTATTTTCTGTAAGTGATGCTATGAAAGCAAGATTTTAATGAGAGTTGAAAGAAAAGGGTGGTGATTGTGCTGAACAGATTTTAGAAGGACATGGTAAGCAGCAGCACAGAAAAAGACATTGAAACCACCATGGAAAAGTTTAATACCATGAAAATCCCAATTGCTAAATTTGCCTGCCTGTTCAAAAACAATTTTCCTCTCTGCTATTCCCTAAACATCCTTCTGCTAGAAAGGCTCATTAGGGAACAGAATCTTGTAGGAAAAACGTAAACAATGAATAGTCTAGTAGTGCTTGTAGGAAAAACGTAAACAATGAATAATCTAGTAGTGCTTTAAAGACAAAGCAAACATGTAGATGGTATCATGAACTTTCATAGGCACAACCAACTTCTTCCAATTACTTGGAGTATAAGAAGTCCGGATCCAAGAATAAATAAGGGAAGGGGGGGGGGGAGAGAAACAGAGAGTAGATTGTTCAAGAAACTGAACAATTAGCACATGCATTATTTGGTTGGTTGGTTAATTCATTAAGTTGTGGAAGGTAGTGTGCGAGCCAGCAGAAGTGTCTGTTCATTCCATTTGCATAAGAATTAAACTTGTAAATGAAGTTAAGCTCCAACCCTTCCCCATGTATTTGGCTTGTGGAATTGGCCTGAAACAACACGATGACTTGGAGATCCATTAATGAGTGCCCAGGCAAGTTAGTGTTTTCCAACAGGTTTCTGTGTATTTCCTTTATGGATATTAATATTATACAAGTTGATGTCAAAGAAGCCTTCAGTGGTTCAGTTTGGGTTTTTTCCTCTCCCTTTACTGACTGGGCAGTCAGCCTAGCGGCACAATATGTGAGTGCTAACTAGCTATTTTACAAAATACAAAGAAATGGGATGATATGCTCCTGGAGTTCAACAGACTAATGAATCTAGGGAGTGTGAATTTAATACAAAGTATATGCAAGTCCTCTCCCGGACTAATGAATCTAGGGAGTGTGAATTTAATACAAAGGATATGCAATTCCCCTCCCACCCCAAAATGGATCCTGAGGCCAAAGGCTAATCTATTAAAAAAAAAAAAGCACCCCGCGACTTAATAAAAAAAAAAAAAAAGAATCTCACAGACAATATTAAGAAGTTGGCAGGCTTTGAGAAAATCCACAAATAATTAAGTATAATGGAATGACTCTCTAGGCTATTTCATTATGTAGTTCACCACTGAGTGAGGTTTATGCAGTGAGTATCAGGGTGAGTGTGAATATGTTTTAAATTTAGCGTAACATAGGTCTAATGTAACTCATTACTCTAATGTAACTCAACTGACTCCATGTAGACAGAAGCCCTGTTGAAGTGAGGGGTCTAGCCACAAAGAAGAATGTAGGATCAGCAATATAATAATTATATTCTACGTATGTGCTTAGGGATAACTAAGGGAGGAGGGATAGCTCAGTGGTTTGAGCACTGGCCTGCTAAACCTAGTGTTGTGAGCTCAATCCTTGAGTGGGCCATATAGGGATCTAGGGCAAATCTGTCAGGAATGATACTTGGCCCTGCCATGAGGGCAAGGGACCGGACTAGATGACCTCTCAAGGTCCCTTCCAGCTCTATGAGAGAGTATATCTCCATATAAAAAATAAAATTACATTTGGAAATTCTGATCAATGTTTTTCCATCTTCTCTCTCTCATTTCAAAAAGCCTCCCTCACTGTTAAAGAGTGAAAAGAGGAGCCGAGCCCCCCTCCCTCCCTCCACCTGTAAAATAGGTTTTCCACAAAGACACCATTAGTAATGGATAGTCAAGGCCCAGCTAGTCCAATGACAGTTTTTATTTAAATACACACACATACTTACCTTTCCTAGAAGGCACAAGAACAGGAACAATCTCTTTATCAAAGTAGCCAGCTTTCTGTGCACTCTCTGCCCTGTTCTGTGACTGTACAGCAAATTGGTCTTGTTCTCGTCTGCTAATTTGCCACTGCTTGGCCACATTTTCAGCTGAAAGAAAACAAAATATCAGTTTTGAATGGGGGTGGGGTGGGGTAAGACTCAATAATTTACTGTTTACTAGGCCTTAAGTTAAAACTCCAGAATGCCTATTAAGACAATGTATCCTGGTAGCAGTCAGTTAAGCTTACAGAACACTGCTCATTCTGAGCCCCTAGTTTCACTTGTTCATGGCTTTCTCCTACATTCACTTTTGGGGCTGAACATGTCCACCCCTGATCACCATCCAGAGTTGCTTTAAAAAACAAAAAGTTCTGCACAAGCAAAAATCAAGTGTTCAAGATAGAAATTTCACAACCTTCCTAGGCAACTTATTCCAGTGTTTCACCACCCTGAGGCTGTGTCTACATTGGCACCCTTTTCCGGAAAAGGGATGCTAATGAGACCAGTCGGAATTGCAAATGCCGCGAGGGATTTAAATATCCCCCGCGGCATTTGCATGAACATGGCTGCCGCTTTTTTCTGGCTCGGGGTTTTGCCGGAGAAGAGCGCCAGTCTAGACGGGATCTTTCGGAAAATAAACCCTTTTCCAGAAGATCCCTTATTCCTAAAAGGGTTTATTTTCCGAAAGATCCCGTCTAGACTGGCGCTCTTCTCCGGCAAAACCCCGAGCCAGAAAAAAGCGGCAGCCATGTTCATGCAAATGCCGCGGGGGATATTTAAATCCCTCGCGGCATTTGCAATTCCGACTGGTCTCATTAGCATCCCTTTTCCGGAAAAGGGTGCCAATGTAGACACAGCCTCAGGGTGGTGAAACACTGGAATAAGTTGCCTAGGAAGGTTGTGAAATTTCTATCTCTGGAGATATTTAAGAGCAGGTTAGACAGAAATCTATCAGGGATGGTCTAGACCAGTGTTTCTCAAACTGTGCTCCGCGGAGCCCCAGGAGCTCCGCAAGACATCTCCAGGGGCTCCACAAGGTTGACAAACTGGAAACATTGATAGGTACAACACATACAATCAGTGGACCACTGGGGCTCCGCATAAATTTTTACGCATGTAAAGAGTCCCGGAGCCCAAAAAGTTTGAGAACCGCTGGTCTAGACAGAACAGGGTCCTGCCATGAGGTCATCGAGTCCAGTCCTCTGCCCTCTCAAGGTCCCTTCCAGTTCTAGTGTTCTATGATTGCTCTGGACAGCTGTGTTCAAGTATCTCTGCAGCAACTCTACATTGGAAAGACTGTACCATAGAAGATACACTATTTTCATAAATTCAGAGGTTGAAGACTCATTACCCTTTCCAGTGCAGAACTGTTACCTACACATTTGTGCATGTTCTCCAGTACTGGCCTTTTACTTAGAGGTCTGGGGGAAAAGAATTTAAAATTTGAATTCAGAGATTAATTTCAGATATCAGTTACAAAGCATTACATCAATATCTGATGTAGAGTAGGACAACATGGTGAAGAGAGAAACAGACAAGGCAGATCAAATTTCTTCCCTACAACTGACCGTGCTAGCGCAGATGGTTAAGTATCCTTTCCAAGTCCATTTTATAATATGAAACATAAAAGGAAAAATTAATATGAACTTGTAAATATCATAGTCTATTTCTTAATTATTACTTAATTTCTATTGAAGTATATTTAAAAATCACATTTTAAAGTTTCCAGAATTATACACTGCACTCCCATCCCCATGCTAATTTACAATTAATTGTTCAGAACAGGGATATAAAATCCTGTTTAATTGAAGAAACATCCAGTTTAACCAGTTAAAGAAGGAGCAGGCAGGGAGGACTGCTCCAGCTTGGCCTCCCAGGCAAAAAGGTGTCACTTGGTTGCACCCCCGCACCTAGGCTCATGTTAAAAGTGAGTCTGAGCTATTGTGCTTGTGCTGAGCTGAGGCAGCCTCCCCCTCAGTGAGAGTCACACCCAAAACTTTAAGCCCAGCTGGGCACCAGTGCAGTGCCCAGGGAAATTGAAGCACATACACAGAGAGTTACGACTAAGCAGCACAGGACAGCAGAAATCACATATGACATAACAAGCAAACAGAGTTAATACAATCCCCACTTTGTCACAGGCTGCTGCAGCTGGGCTGGAGAGCCTCAGTGCATGGAGGGCAGGGAGCTGATCCAACCCCCACAGGTTAACCAGAACTGATAAGCATCACCCATTTAAGGGTGATGATGTTTATTGGTCAACCTTTCACATCCCTAGTTGAGAACTAGAGTAAAATGGTAGATTCACTGTAATTTCAAGTCTTTAAACCAAGATTTACTTCTGCAGTAAGCCCATAATCTCTGGTTGAGTTACTGAAGTGGCTGCATGAGGTTCTGTGATCCAGTAATATGCAGAAGAGCAGATTAGATAATCATGATTGTCCCTTCTGACAAAGTCTCTAACTGTTGCTACTTACCTGTTATACCCATGTGATAATGGTAAAAAGCATCTGTAAGACCATCATTGATTATACTGTCCTGCAAAGAGGCCTCCCCCATTTTCACTCCAGCTCGCATATGAACTAAATGAGGAGCCTGCAAATAAAATATTTTGAGAGAAATTTAGAAGACTGTTAGGGATTTGCTGGGAAGAACTCTCTCACACCCAATCTCTTCAGCAAAGTCAGACCTTAGTCTGAAAGCCAAAGGAAACCTCTCCAATATAATGAATAAAAGACCTAAGAACAACTAGCAGAGGAGGGGCCACCCATTTAGTTTTGTCTCATTTCCAGCCATCAAGTAGCAAGTGAATTCTCTCACTCCAAGGTTTTCAATCTAATAGTGAGTCAGCAGAAGGCACTGTGTTGCCCAGCCAACAGACAGTTCACAAATGAGATAAGTAGTCTTCAGATTACTCCCGCATTTGGGCATCCTGCAGAGCAAGCAGCAATACTGCCACTGCCTTTTGTCAGGAGCAAGCTATTCATTGTCATGGGGACAGAGGGAAATTAAAATAGGTTTGAAATATAAATTAAAAACACAGTGTAATCAGTCTTGTCTCCAAGGTTTCTATTCCCTCTCTAGTTAAGCCAGATGTTGCATTTATAATTATTGCCAAGAATAATGATAAATTATGAGACACTCTAATTGCATCCCTGGAGCATGGAGATAAGAGAAATAAGCAATTTTACCAGAATTTGCAAAGTTATCCAAATACATCCCCATTCCCCACCATCAAAAACTAGTATCTATCCTCCTAAACAGCAAAGTTCAGAAAGAAAAAAGGTGGTCAAGAAGTCTAGGCTCAGTTTAGAAGGATTTATTCTGATCAATCAGGGTTCATATCAGCATTAGTACAGTCTACCAAAATCAGTAAAAACATTCTCATTGATTACAGTGAGCTTTGGACCAGGCCTTAAGTGAATCTCTCTTTAAATTTCTCTTTCTAGATTTTAAATAGGAATATTTATTATTTACATCTATACTTTAAACAATATTATTTTCACATTACGTGCAGTCACATAACAGGATCTCTTTATTAGATGTCACACTAAAATTCCTAAATTACATCTTGAATTTCAGTAAAGGCTTAATTCAAGTTACAGACCACTACAAATCTATTCTGACTTTCCTTTTACATATATCATTATAAATGCATGTTTTAATAAATTACATCTAAAAATAGTCTCACTAGGAAAAAAAGATTGCTCAAGTGAATAGCTGGAGGATATGATTGAAGGTGCAGAAATAATTGATAGTTTTGAAAAACCAAAACCAGCATTTAAGGAAAACACTAAAGAGGTATTGGTTAGGGGAAGAGGACAAATGTAATAGATGTATTTAAAAAAGAGAAGTCTACAAAAATAGTGGTAACTTTTAGCAAAGTTTAACCTATAATGGAAAAACAAAAATCTAATATACAGGCAGTCCCCGGGTTATGTACAAGATAGGGACTGTAGGTTTGTTCTTAAGTTGAATCTGTATGTAAGTCGGAACTGGCGTCCAGATTCAGCCGCTGCTGAAACTGACTGCCAGTTCTGACTTACATACAGATTCCAGGTAAGAACCCCAAGCTTCCCCAAGTCAGCTGCTGCTGAAACTGATGAGCGCTGATTCCAGGAAGCCTGGGGCAGAGCAACTCTGCCTCGGG